TAAAACATCAAACAACAACAACATATACATATATATATATATATATATCACTAATCTTTAATATTCATTTTGCATGTTATTCTGCCTTTCTGAAGTTTTCATTATATATCATAACATTTCCATGAAAAGAGCTGGAACAATTATCTGTTATTGTAATATTGACACTTGTAATGCATTAGACATTTACACTTTTTTAAATGTTTAAACATTATCATATAACTTTTTAAAAGAAAAACATTGAGAAAGTGCTATTACTGGCATATTTCTCTAAATTCTATAAACATATAAAAATAGTAAAGTAACAAGAAACAAGGTGTACAATAATGGCTTGTTTTGATTTGACAATGAGCATTAATCACATTATTACAAAAATATATGCTGTCTGGGTCTACCAGAGCTCTGCACTAGATTCAGCAAGATGCTTCGTTTTAATATGGTTTCTTGTTTTTTCTATATTGTAACTGAGCTCTGCACAGTCACAGCGTACATTTTACTTTTTTGGTCTCCATTTATATCAAAATTTATTCTAACAAGGCTTCTCTTATTTTGAGCTCCTGAAACAACATTGCTAGCATGGCCAGTTTCACCTCAGTTTGTTATATCTCTATGTAATTGGAAATCATACAAGCAATGGGTCCAAAACGTAGTTCCAGTTAAAAGTGATTAAACTATCATTTCTGATATTAATAGCTTTGTTTTGTTTTGTTTTACTTAAATGTGTGTGTGTGTGTGGTGTGTATATATAATATTGATAACCATAATTTCATGTATTTTCTTGACTGTCAGTCTTGTATTCAATTTATTAGTAATATTAATAATTATAGTAATTTGGGAATGTTTTTGAGTGGCAGCATGATTTATTTTTTACTAATGTAAGGTTATGATGAAAAACCATTCTTACTATTTACCAGTAGTGTCACATAACAAAAGCAGAACCTAAACAGCAAAATAACCTCTGAGTAGTTTCTTAATAATTGACTTGAACATTTAATAGATTAAGAAAAGTTCAAAATGTTTGGTACATGGCTAACATTTAAACTCAATTAACACCCCCTATTTTATGTTTTTATTTATTCAGCCAACAATTACTATAAAATTAAATATTTTTTTTTTAAATCAGCATAATTATATCAGTTTTATTTTGCAAGTGAACTTATTATTCAAGCATTCACATTGCATTAGATGTAATAATTGAAAGAAATAAAATGTTATTGTATGTTGATTGTTGAATTTTTTTATTTTCTTCTAGGTCAGGGGACAAAACTGTAATGCTGTGGGAACCGGTAAGTTGTATTGTTTAATCAACTCTGTAGTTGTAAAACAATTTGTTAATGCTTTTTATAATCCATTATAAAAATATTTAAAATACAGGGACAAGAATTTAGCTTGTTTCAATTCAAAGTTAAGTACTTTAGGTTGACTGTAAAACAGATTTATATATAAAACTACAAAGCAGAAAGAAAATATGGAATATAAACATGAATTCCATTATACATATTAACCTCATACAGATTGGTGAGTACCTGTCAGGCTAGTTAGTTTGTTAATTTTTGTTAAGAGGTGGTTAATATACAAAATTTCTTACAAAATACAATTTTCTTCTTTATTTGATTGATAATACTACTAAGAAGTATTTAGAGGCTCTTTATACCTCTAAAATGAAGAAATCTTCTACAGCTTAAAAGATAGTTTATTGTTTTTTACAGTATGTAGGAAAATGTGCTTTATGAATTTTCCTTAAATTCTACTTAGAATTATTTTTAAAGCCAATATTTTTTTAAAGTAACTACTTTAAATTTGAAGACAGTGTTCTGGAAACATAGTTCTTACATTATCTATAAATTTAGATGTTCAGGGTGTAACCATTGTTACATGACTCTACATTTTGTTATCTGAGTCAAACAATTAAAGAGCGTGCACAAAATACTTCATATAATCATTCAGCTATTCTTCAGCATGGTTTACAAGATCATGACTTTTTCCTACTGTCCAAGATGCCAGCATTCTGAGAAGTGCATCAAATGGAAAAATACTAAGTACTAAAGAAATGTGTATTTCAAGTTGCATCAAGAATTGAATATTAGTCATTCTTTACTACTCAAGTTATTATTGTAATTTTCTCTGTGCTGAGGAGGGTTAATGAATAACCAAAAGCTTGCCTGCATTATTATGAAAATTAGGTGGAGGACAAATGAATGATGAAAATTATTATGGTATTGCATCATTTTGGTGTTTGTAGAAAAGGCTTTTAAGTCTAGAAATGTTTTAATTGTATGATATTTATATAGTGTGTTGAAAGAGCTATGGTGATACTATAATATTTAAAAAATAAGTGTAATTATGTACATTTTCTCATTGGTCATTATTTTTCATTCTGTGATTACAATTACAATGTCTCATTAGCTCAAATTATTCAGAAAAGATATAATGATGATGTGATGAAAAAACTTTTGAAAGTCTGTACTTAAAACTACAGAAAATCAGCATGTGTTCTGTTTAACTCTTTGGAGACGGGTCACGGGTGATAGGCCATGTCATCTTGTTTGTTGACTCACATTCAAAATTTTATTGAACTACTATTTCATGAATTTATGTCAATAACTTTGGTATCAAACTGTAGATTATTATTCAAATTTTAGTACTATATATTACCCAATTTCTTAATTAAAAGTAAATACTAAAAAAACACAGATAAACATTGATTTTTGTGTGTCACGTGGTATGTTAAATGCAGCACTGGTTCAAATGTTTGTGAAGTTAAAATACTTAGTGTATAGTTTTGTACAAATTAGAAACTCAAATTGCTGATATTGACAAGCTAGAATATAAAATAAGAGCCTTTATCTTTTCACTTTCCTAAGATATTGCTCATGTAATAAATCAAACACAGTGGCACCCCACCCACCACTTTCTATTTTTGGAAATGCTCCTTATATATATATATAT